CCCAAAACCCCAAAACCCCAAAACCCCAAAACCCCAATCATAGCTTTCTAAGTTGAATATTTTAAATAAAATGGAAAAATGCTTGCTGATAATCCTTCTAATTTGAATCTTCTGATCTAAAGCCATTGCTGGTTGTGAAGCCAATTGCAAATTTTGCTGCATAAATGGAACCTGTAGGGCTAAATAAAGGTAAGAGATAGCACTACTTGGTCATGACTAATATTTTGCATATAGAGTGAGACAATGAGGTTTATCTCACAATCCTCCTTGTTTTCATAGTCTTGTTCATCGGAGGCTGCTGATGAGGCATCCGCTTCCTCATTAGATCCAAGCGAGTCAAGAAGATTCTTAAAATTCTGATGGTGAAGCGAATGGAAAAAGCTAAAAATGAGCTTGACTTACAAAGTTATTCAGAACATTTGGAAGAGCATAAAATTAGTGATAATTCAATGTCCTCATTCTTCAAAATTAGCTCGAAACATATGCGAGAAGGGGAATGACAAGAGACTATTGGCAATACATTTGACGATAGCCTTTTCACAATGTATCGGGTTGGATGAACTGCTGAGGAATTCAACTATCTTTGAAATAAAAAATTAAAGAGAGATAAGAATCCTTATAAAAATCCCAAAGCCACTAAGGTGGGATTTAATAACGCCATTAACAATAATCATCTTTATGAGAGCCATGAAGAAGACTTGTACTCTCAAGACTCAATGGTATCTGAAAGTCCCATTGAGGGGAATGAATATGGTGATAGTAAACATCATCTGCGACGCAAAGCCCCAATTAAATCAAAAGCTCCGAATAATAACCTCAAAAGCCAGCCTACTGCTTCTGAGATCAACGCTGCTTCAGCAGATAGAAAATAGGAATAAAGCACAACGTAGTTCAATTGTCTGTAGCTCTCAAGCCAAAATGCGTAAGGTTGTACCTCTATATACAGAGACTAACTCAAAAGATGAGGACAAAATAGGTGTTTATGAGGAGCCCAAATCTAAGAAAAAGAAAAGAAGAGTTATCCGCAAGAGAGTCAAGAAAAACGTCAAGAGAAAGGATGAAGTCATTCATCTTGAAACATACATGTGGGAGCAGACTGACAGTAATTATAAGTACGATACCTGGTTACATATAGGTCCCACGAAACCCAGAATAATCCAAAGAATACTGACGAAGATGTTGCTTTGGAGTATTATAGAAATATCGCCAGGGATAAGGTAAGCAAGAAGGAACATTCCCTTCAAAGTCACCATACGGAAGAACGAAAGGAGTAAATTAACTTAATTATCAAATTTCAACCTGCTTTAGCCCCAAAGGGGTTTTGGGGTTTTGGGGTTTTGGGGTTTTGGGG